TGTTTGGTTTATGATAAAAGTTAATAAAATATGCGATTGAAAAGTTGTAGATCCATGAAATGTATGGTTAAAATTAATTCTTAATTTTGATTTAAATTTTATTCAACTTTTTTAGTTGAACCAAATAGGGGCTAAATGAGATTTTAGCTCTTTTTTTTTTTTTTTTAATTATACTATTCAGTAACATTTGTCAAACATGCCATCAATGTAGAAAAAAATTATCTTGCAAATGGTAATGTAATTTTGATCGCATACTGGTCCAAAATACTTGACACATTGTTGATCAAGCTTTGATCTTGGGCACTCTTCAAGATCAACCTCTTTGCCATCTCCAAAATCCAACCTATTAAACAGTAGACATGTTCAAGTTTCAATTAATATGTGATTTCCACTTTAGATTGTATGGTACCAACTGCACACTTGGAAGAACAAAACATAATAAATGAAAAGCACAATCAACAAATGCGATTATCAGTGTAAAAACAAAATGTATTGTCATTCGTTTTGACAATATAAGTAGAGGAAGAAACAAACTCAACCTCGGTCAAGTTAGATCGCAAAAAAATCTCTCAAATTGTAACTTGATACGACTCATTTGACACCACTTCTCTCACCAGAAAAAGAAATGCTGACTGGTAGAGCTTTTAGACCACAGTTTATAGTATAGTTGTAAGTTGTTTCCATAACGATGCCTCGGATCAATCTGCATAAATAACATAACTATCTAATGTTAACTTCACAAATATTATTATCAGATGATAGTTGAGACGATGGTAAATAACTTGTAATTGAGCGACGACAAATGAACTCCAAAAAATGTGAAATAGCTACCACGAGGAAAATGAGAATGACGTCTAGTCATCATACACCTTATTATGTTTTCGGCAACACACATCTTACAATGCGCAGATAAAAGATCACCACGAGGTACGCTAACCCTAAAAACTCTAAAATGGCAAGAAAAAAGAGTAACTCACTGCTTCAATCCAGTGTTTTGAAACCAATATGTGTGCCTTCGTATTTATAGACAAACCCTTTCCTACCTGTCCATATATTTATTTAAAGACAAATCATCAAATACAATCATCATCAAAACAATCATCTATTGAAACTACTGAATAATTAATTTTCCATTACTTATATTTCTCATTTTCTTAGATTTTTTGACTTTCTTTTCATAATTAAATACTAAGCCAATATAGTTATAAGAATGAATCTTTACATACTTTAGAAGCATTCATAATGAGGCGCTTCCAGCACAAGGCTGTTGTCTCAGGCTTCAAGAAGTCGCCAAACGATAAAATATTGTTATTCCATTCTACAAACCCCATTATTAGAAAGGATATTAAGCCTAACTCAACCTAACAAAATCGGCTTGTTATGGGAGGATTGCCCTCACCTTATTAAGTGGATCGTGTTAATATCACCAGCCAATTTGTGGGACTCTAATACCCATTGCCATAGCAACCTTCAATTTCACCATGAAATTTTGAGAAAGTTACACGCATTGATGTAGCATAATTTTTATGCGTACTATAAACAAAATTCGCAATTCTATGCTTTGGTGGATGGTGGGATTCTACTATTTGCAACAGGGTTTGAGAATTTTTCATCCTCTTAGGGCTTCGATTTCTAGTGGGAAAAACATGTTTACCCTTCTTTGGGTTTAAGGCAATTCAATGAAGGCCGGTCAGATGAAGATTGAAGATCTTGGAAGAGAAAGAGAGAGACTTGGAGATCAGAGTGAGAATTTTGTTGATGGCACTAGCTCAACCTGGTTTTGAATTTTGTTTACCCTTCTTTGGGTATAAGTCAATTTAAAGAAGGCAAGACAGAAGATCTTGGAAGAGAAAGAGAGAGAATTGGTGATTTTGTAGATGGCTTTAGCACAACTTGTTTACTTGCAATTTTGTATAATCAAAAGATTGTCAAGTCTGTTGTCGCCAAAGAAGCTCGTATGGCTGATTAGACACAGTGTGTGCATGATAAGCTTTTACCTGTGGAACAAGTTCTTTCCTCTCCCCTAGCTGAGTCTCTTTGTAGAGTAATGTTGGAAACTCAGAAACTAGACAGTGATAAGCTTTTACCTTTGGAACAAGTTTTTCCATCTTCCAAGACCTGCAGAATCGATCTAGTTGCGGAGCTCTCTAGTGAGTCTCTTATTTCAGTCTTTGGAGAGTGATTATTTCTGTCTCCAAGGGTTCTGATAAGCTCCTAGTGGGAATCTTAAAAGTAGATTTGAAGAGAAATTATGTCTTAGTGTTTTCTTTTGTTCTTGCCTTGACTAGTTATTTCAATATTATTTTTAACATGTTCTCCAAAAATAAAATACGAGATAAGCAAAATGATACACCCCTACACTAACCCCAACTGCTCCCACTTTCGTTCTTAATTCTTCACTTTTGGTATTTATTTGGCCGATTTCTTTGGAAAGTTTCGCTTCTCTTTCATGGGATTTTTTCCCGCGAAAAAGGTTTGAAGTTAACTATGAACATAAAGCTGGAGCCCAACTCGTGTGATTCAGCGCAGGAAGTGTCGGGACTTATTTCAAGAAAAGAGATCTGAAGTAGTTTAATGACAGACTGTCCAATAATTCTTTTTAAGTGGTCAAGAGGGTAATTACTCACTTTTTGAAAACTTCGATCAACTTTTATCAAAATTTACTAAAAATTTAATTTTGGCCGATATCAAAATTTCTAAAATTTTGAAATTGGCATATAACCTAGTTAGTGGATGTTTGGTGAGGATTAAAATTAGATTTTTAGTAAATTGTGATAAAGTTTTTAAAATATGTGGTTGAAAAACTGTTAAATCTATGAAAAATGTGATTAATATTGATTGTTTGACTTTGATTTAAATTAAAATTTAATTTTAATCCGAAACAAACAGGGCCTTCATTTACTTGGCATTGATCCGGGCAAGTCTTCGAGTCATTGGTTCAAAGTTCAAACAGTTAGTTGATAAATAGACTGTCACATAATCGATATTCCATCATGATAATGATAAATATCATTATTATGATGTTCTCTGTTAGATTTTCAAAAAAATAATAAATTAAACTCATTGAACTAATTTACATGTTTCTTTGTTTTTTGGACAAAAATAATAATTTTTAAAGCCAAAAATAAAGAATTTGTTATTTTCTTAATTTTCATCTAAATATTGTGACATTATTAAAAGCAAATGTAAGCGCTTTTATAAAAAAGTTGAATAATATAATTGTTAGAAAACGCTTTTATAAACGTTGAATAATTTTGACCAAAGTAACGATTTTGTCCCCAACCAATTTTTTGTCCTCAACTTCAAGTTAATTCAATAATGGCACAAAACCAGACAAAAAAAATTTTTGATTGTGTCGTGGGACAAAAAGTCATTGACTAAGAAATCCCAACGTACCCAGATCCAAGAAAACCTAATTATTACTGGATTTACAAAAATCCTATGTACTTTAGTCCCCTCCAAGAATCCCAATGGCCCCACCCATCTTCCTAATTCTTCACTTTTTATAACGAAAAAAGTCATAAGCATCGTACGTTAAAAATACAATATCAAACATATCAAATTCGTAAAATCTTTTAAAAATTCAAGTGATAAATATTATTTATCTATTCTATAAATAATATAAATTCATCTTTCCTACAAACAGTATATACATATGAATTAATTTATTTTGCACAAGGCAAAATTGCCATGTACGTGCATAATCTATTTTGGAAGTCTAGATTTAAAAAAAAAATCTGAAAAAATCAAGATAAACCAGTCACGATGGTGCATCAGACCCACCAAACCACCGCCCCGGCACTCGGGACCTTTCTTCCAACAGTGATGCCGATGTCGCGGTGCCCCAAGGCTCCGGCCCTCTGTCTGTCAAACCAAAACTTCTTAAACCTCCTTTATCCAACCAAAAACCAAAGTACAAGGAATTTGGATCGTACCACGACAGGAATAAATGAATTGTTGATAAAGAAAAAAAAATCAAGTCTCGATATTTGTGCACAAATCAAGAAGTTTGGGTTATAAATATATATTTAGTAGTTCTACAAAGAATCAATTAATATTTGATTGTGTTCCACATTATCGTTAAATTTTCGCTTTTAACTGTCTCACAACAAAGAGTGGTCTTAAATTTGTTTTTGGAGATACCATTTGTGTTATCTTACTCGTATAGAAATGAGTGCCTACTGAGTGACCTTTTTTTATGCAATTGTAACTTTTCAAGATAGAAGAGCTTGATTTCGTGTTAGTAATTTCTTATTAACCGTTTGTAATTATTAAAATAACGAGTTTTTAAGAAAGAAACAATATAGATATTGAGAAGGTTTTTAAGAGACTTAAAGATATGCTTATGTACAGTGAACTAGCATGATGTATTTCTGAAAATAAAGTGTTTATTTTGATTTTGATTTTGATTTTGATTTTGATTTTGAAATTGTTTCTTGGCGTGGTCATGAATATTATCGTATTATTGCTTCTTAAAAAAAAAGCCAAGTTGCGCACCAACCAAATTCAATTGTTGGCTCTCGATGAGCATAATTTATTATATATTTTTCTTAAATCTTAATTTCATTAATCAATT